GGCTCTCCACTGCTGCAGGCTCGGGCTGGGCCAGCTCCCAGTGGCAATGCGCACTGCTGAGAGGCAGGAGGGACCCGCAACCCCCAGATCTGGGGGTGGAGGTGGTGGGGACAGGGCAGATGTGCACTGTCCCTGTGCACACAGAGGAAGTGTGGCCAGGGCAGCACGGAGCTTGCAGCAGCAGTCTCTTTTGTGCATGGCCCCGCTGTGCCCTGCCGCACCAGTTGCACATGCTATGCTCTGGCGAGCCTAGGGTTTGCAGCTGGACAGGCACTCTGGCCGGGAGGGGGTTTGCAGCCTGCCACACCTCCATCGCGGGACGCAGGCACTAAAATGTAAAGTAAACTTTATTGTCCTTGAACCACAAAATAGATTTCTTTGGTTGTACAAATTTCACTAGTTACAGTCTTGATGCGCTAATTTTCCCTCGGAGTCGCTCGGGAGAGGGGAGAGGGAGAGGAGCCCAGAACCTGGCCCCCAGGGGAAAGGAGAATCACACATTAGTCACCAAACCCAATTGAGGATTGTTTCCAAAACTGCTTGTCTTAAAAAGCAAATGCTAAAATTAGGTTGAAAAAAGGAAAAGCTCAAATTGCTGATGACGGAAGCAGCCGCAGCTGCAATTTGAGATGATCAGATTTCCCCCTTCCAAGGCCTGTACAAGTAAAGATACAAAGTCAGTTCAAACGATCCCTTGGATTTTGGCGTGAAGGGAGCGTCTCGGCAAAAAGAAACCAGATCCAGTCATTCAGCAAATGTACAAGCAGACAGGCGTGCCTGCCCTGCCCGTGCCACCTGTGTCATGCAGCCCCGGTCTCATCGCTGTAGGGGCAGCATGGCAGCATGCACCTCCTGTGGCCCCCCCTGGGGCCATGCGCTGGGCAAGGGGTGGAGATCAGCAGCTCAGCACAGAAGAGGGCAGTGAATGCGAGACATCTCGGTGTGGGGAGCCCTGGAGCTGTCTCTGGCTCCGCGCTGCCGGGCTGGCTTTGTACAGTGCCTCGTCCCAGGATGGAAGCTGGGCACCGTGTCTTGCCCGTGGCCGGGCATGGAAGAGCCTCTTCTCGGCCCTGCTGTGCAGTGACAAGGTCAGGTCCTGGGGCTGGCACCCAGCACAGCCACACTAGTTATTGCAGTGCCCGGGCCAGGCCTGCCCCCGTTACCTCCTGGAGCTCCCTGCAGGGCTTGGTGTCAAGGCGCCCCCACCCTCTTCACTTCAGCGCTAATGGGCAGTGCCCCGTGCTGTGCCACCGCTGTCCCCCCCCACCCCACTCGGCCTCCTGC